CACCCCTACTTTTTTTGTTATTAAGTCTCGTAGAATGATAAAAACTTATGAACTTTATCTTTTACGTGTATCTACATTTATAGACATACCAGCAATGATGATGGTGATGACGGAAACGATGTAGATAAGAACAGTAATAATGGTAGCAGCAGCGATAATGTCAAACAGAATACATCAAACTCAACATCATCAAAAATTTCAACGCTAACACAAATTCCAGTATCAACACAAAATGCAACAAGAACAGAAGCTCTACGAAAACGGGCGAATTCTTATTCAACAATTCATTCATCACCATCACAACATAAGAAACTAAATCGAACATTGGAAAATTTAACAATTTGGAATAAGGAAGCTGCTATGTTCAAAATAATGTTGTCATTGAATAGAAAAGAGCGACGACATGGTCAAAGAAAAAGTTTATAAAAATAACATTTATTTTTTTATGAAAACTCTCTTTCTCTTATTTCACTGTTTATGTTAATTCAATCACTAACTTCTTGTGATCCTATTTTTGTTATAAATTTAGTTATTATTGCGTTAACTGTTGATAAGCGAAAACTTATTTCTTGAAAGTACTCATAGTTCTTTGTGTCTTGTTTTCTCTATCAAATTTCAGACAGAAAAATAGCGAAATAAAATCGTATCTTGATAACATAAATCAATTACTAACTGACAGAGTAAAAAAAGAATATAGTTCTGGTATTTTTTATCACCACATTTTACAACTCAATCAGACACTCTAAGTTATTAGCATGTCTTAGCGATAAGACGATCAGATGTCAAACATAAATCTATCCTGTTGTTTCATTTCATTTCTCAATATTACTAAAATATTCACAACATAAAAATGTTGCACATGAAAAACTTCGTAAAAACTACAATAGAGAAAACACATGCCAAAAATCAATACTTGCTTGTCTGATTCTAACTAAGTTCACTGCATAACTCCCCTAGGCTACACATCATGATGCACATATTATAGTTGAATGGACACTATCTATAGAAATGTGCGATATATATTCAAAAAGCAAATGAAAGTAACGATTGTCGAAAACCAAATCGCCGAAGATCAGATTGTTGAAGCAAACATCCCTGATTTATAACATCGAAAAAAATTCGGCGATCTTTATTTCGATGATATTCATTTTGGCGATCTTTCTTTCCGATAATGTTCGTTTCGGCGCGATTTTTGCCGATCTCGTTTTCAGCGATGAGCACTACATTCCACCCACACCCTATGGTCTGTAATAGGGAGAGTGTCCGTAATGGTTGAGTGTGCTTGTAATAGGTAGTCGCAAAACGTCACCTTAAAACTTACACTTACTTTGCCTTCGAAAATACATATATGTAAATTCCACAAAAAATAAGCATCCTATCGATCCACAATCACCATCGGATTCTTTCGCTGCATGCAATACCAAAACTCACAATATTTCGACTAAATAGTTAAGATCTGTAGTTTTATAATGATCTAAGTACTAACATCATTAACGCTTTTTCCGATTTCTAGGAAAATGTATCCAATAATATTTGTCTAGCTCATTCTCAGTCACTAGAGTCTGCGAGAGGTCTCTAAGATATGTAATGGGAGATTAGGAGTGTACGAGCTGCAAACATCTCGATTTTAATATCTGCTCACTATTATTTTCTTCGAAGATAAATGTGATTTCAAAAAAGAAAACATTATTTTCATATAGAATAGTTTTAATTTAGAATGTAATGAATACAATCGTTCAATGTTAATATTCGATATTGACTCATTGATTATGCTTGGTGTATCGGATTCGGCAATGTCCAAATCAGTTTCGATATCTAATATACATTTGTATCAATTTATTCGAGAAAAATGTAAAAAAGCTGTTGTTGAACAAAGTTCAACCGACGGAAATGTAAAAAAATCCTTTTCGAATTAATACTTATAACAATATGCATGCGTTTTTTGTTTGCTTTTCTATTATAGGAGAAAAAAACGAGTGGTGAACATCTGAAAGAGAAATGGGTAGTAATGATCGTTAAACATCCACTTCTTCATTCACTTTTAGTTAATGATATTGAATTTAAAAAAACACTTCGGCAAACTCAACAAGAACATGAAGATGAACAAAAACGTATCGATGATGAAACTCTTAAATTGTGTCCTAAATGTCAACACAGCTATATACCATCGCAAGTTAATCATGGCAGTTGTCATTATCATGATGGATATATTGTTGATCTTGATAATCCAAGTAAAATTTTAACTCAAGATGAAGCTCAAAGAATAACACAAAATGCAAGAATACAAGCCACTGCCAATCAAGATTCTAATGTAAAAACACCGATCCCAAAATTGATCTGGGCTTGTTGTTTGAGTTTCTTTGGAACCGAACAACCATGTAAAGTTGGCATTTGTGGATTACCTGGAGAACTGCACGAATCAGTAGGCGATTCAAATACAGATTTAATAACTAAGGTTCAAGAACATTTCAAGAAGAATCAAGCAGCTAAAAAGAAAATCGAAGAATTTATAGAGTACTATAAAAAGTCTAAAGGAGCACAAAGACCAGTGCCAACGTTAACAACAAATACTCCTACCCGACCAACATCTGCTACTCCTTCAGTTACTCGTCGAAACTAACGATTTCTTTTAGTGTATTTGAATACGTATAGTAAACTGGTGTTATTCGGATTACTTCTAAAAAAATCGATTTATCTCGGTCATTACTTAACTATTTCACATTGGAGAAAAACGATTTTTTTACCGATAGATAACCCAAAGTGTTTTCTACAAATCTAGTTCATTTTTTTATTGGGTTTTTACAAAAATGGGAAGAACATTGAAAAAATGACCAGAATTACATGAGTAATTTTAACTGGAGAGAATTTGCAAAACATCTAGCACATTTTGAGCAGATTTTCAAGTGTTGTTTTTCGGACAAAAAATGTTCGTCTCACTTTACTCTATCTATTCATGTAAAATAGGACAAGAATAAGCTGATTTGACCGATTATGAATCGAAATAATGAGAGATCAAAAGAAGGACACGTTTTTGAACTTACTCTTCCTTTTTTTGGATTAATATTTCATTTTTATGAGAATTTTCGTGAAAAAAGTTTTACTTTTCCAATACAACAATGTTGGCGGTAAAAAATGGTAAAAAAATCAAAACATCTTTCCTTAACAATCTGCAGAGCTTTGATTAAAGTTGAATTGAAATCGACTCCGT